TATCTCCTCATTAAAAGGGTCTGTTCTGTGGTTTGACATGGGCTTTTTAAAGGCCCTTTCTTCAGAAATTATTTGGGCCAAAGAGTCTGGGCCCACTTTCTTTGTGTTATAAGACTGATTGGTCTTATTAGTAAAGACTGAAATGTCACGTGCCCAGTCACGTGCCTTTATAGGGTTAGGCTGATTTGAACTTCCCACGTACCCATCACTTCTTTTACGTATCGAGCCCCTCCCCCTGCAATTTGAGTGTCCTCTTTTACTCGCTGGATCGAAGCATTGTCTTCCTCGTTTGCCTCGACGGTGAATCTTCCCGGCGATTCGCACCAGATCTGCATCTCAAAGCATATTCCTTCAAATTCTAGTTTCACTGTTTTGGGAATTGAAGACCCATCTCGTCTAACCTTTATTCTTGCCCATTTTAAGTGATTCTTCAGCTCCGTTTCCTCCTCCGTTTCAACCCATCCCCCACAGAATTTTCCAATTTCTTGAAAAACTTTTGTAGACCAAAAGTGTAATGGAAGCCCTACTATCCTAATCCATGTTTGATTTATCTTTTTATTTCCTGGAACCATCCCCACCATTGGACTCCACAATTGAAGCTCGACTTTTTGCTTCTTCCAGAACCAGTCATTTCTTAGAACATGACCAGCCATTTCTTTCGATGGGGGTTCGAAAAGAAACCTGTTCTGATCCATCATAGATATTGGTTCCCTTTACTTGCTTCCAGGAGTTTGATGTCCATTTACGCACTTCCGATAATGTCGCCATTTCTGAGGTCCCTTCTGGAAAGATTCCCACCAAGCACCTGCCTAGCAATCCGTTGTGTGTTTGTTCTCCAGTCATACGAATTATGTCCCCTTCTTGTTGGGTTTCTGCTGCATTCATTTCTCTGTTTGCCCATTTATGGTTTCTGACAGTGTTTGAATACAGGAGACCTTCTTCAACCACCTTAGGAGCATTATAGACATTCCTTCGTGCCCCACTATTAATGAACCTTTCTATTTTGATTGCAATATCCATCCAACCCGAATTGAATGTCACCTCTGGGACAATAATGACTGATCTTCCTCTGCCTTGGACCCTGATGATGGTTATATAGCGACCAAACCTGTTATAGTTCCTTGCACAGAAAGTCTCTGAAAATTGGTCTTTGCTCTTCCATCTTTTCACATAGTTCCCCTTCACCCTTGAGGCTTCCTTGAGATTATCACATAGCCACATCATCATCTTCCTGCTGAAGGTAGTCCTTCTGATTAGGTTCCTTCCTCTTTCTGTCCACTCGAACCATTCTTCAGCACTGGATGTGTATCTCTCTATTTCATAAGATTTGAAGCCTACTGCAAAGTATATGATGTTCTCCTTCATTGCAAGCAATTCTTACTAGACTCGGTGAACACAAGGACAATAACTAACTAATTTTTAACGAAAAGAAGAGGATTTTTAGTCAGTAATCACAGAAGGTAATCACTGGGGGGTATGAAAGAATGAAATTCCGGCAGGAGCCACCGGAAAGAGATCTCTACAGTCCTAGGAAGTAGGAAAGAGAGTGTCCTTGGGATCAGCGCCTGAGAGCATTGTGAATTATAGATGCACTTTGAGCTTCTTATCCTTTTCGTGAAGTTCTAACACCAATAATTTCATATCGTCAGTCGAAGTTTGATAGTCAATATAGAAAGATTACATGGAGAAGGCATGGTAGAAAGTCGAAACTTAGAAAGTGGGATTTAGTACAACCACATGCTAAGAGGGTGTTTGGATTGGCTTATTTTAAGTGCTTATTGGCTTTTAAGCACTTTTCTAGTTTGTATGGTGTTTGGCAATGATAAAAAGTGCTTAAAAACACTTACTTTTAGGCATAAAAAGTAAAAAAATAAGCCAAAAGCCAAAAGTTGGATATTACCAACTTATGGCTTTTGGCTTTTAGCTTAAAAGCTACTTTTTATAAGCCAATCCGAACACCCTCTAAGTTTTCTTACAACGTGAAGAAGCTTTATGATAAGCTAGCAAGATGTAATTTGAAAGCTAGTGAGCATTGGGTACCTATTCTTTACTAAAGCAATTTGAATAAGTTGTTTGTTTCAGATGAGTAAACTAACAGTGCCTATGGAAGGGAAGCTCGAGGGAGAGAATCTGCAGATATTATACTTTCTACTTCATTATGGAACAATGTGGTTCATGCATTGAAGATTGGTTGTCCTTTAGCTAAAGTGCTTCGTTTGGTGGATGGGGAGCAAAGGCAACCAACAGGCTACCTTTACGAAGCAATGGATAGGGTGAAGGAGGCTATTCAAGACTCATTTAATGATCAAAGAAAATACAAAAGAGTTGAGATCATAGATAAAAGGTGGGACGGTTAGATTCATCGCCCTTTGCATGCAGATGGACTTGTTTTAAACTCGAAACTGTTTTATGACAATGAAGAGAGGATTCTAGGAGATGAAGAATTGTGGAAGGGATACATTGAATGTATTGAGAAGTTGATACCTGATTTATCCGTGCAAGATAAAATAACGGAGCAATTTAGTACTTATAGTAATGCTGAGCAACTTTTTGGAAAAAACATGGCGATTAGACAAAGAAAGATGAAGTCACCAGCTGAGCGAGTGCTTATATGTTGTTTTATAGTTAATAAGTTATTTCTTTATCAATATTATGTTTGAATATTTGTTCTACTTCTATAGTTGAATGGTGGAAGAATGTTCCCGAAGGCACCCCTCTCTTTCAAGAGGATTTTGCGGCATGTCAAGCCCTAGTAAGGTTCTTCGCTTTGCATCGAATTAAACCACATACTCCACCGCTTGTGCGGGACCCCGTCAATTCCTTTGAGTTTCATTCTTGCGAACGTACTCCCCAGGCAAGATACTTAACGCGTTAGCTAATGGTGGAAGAAATATGGCCATTCCACTCCAGAATTACAAAAGTTTGCCATCAAGGTTCTAAGTCTTACATGTAGCTCATCCGGGTGTGAAAGAAATTGGAGCGTGTTTGAACATATAAGAACAAAGAAAAAAGATTTAGTATATTGAGATAATTAAATTATATCTCAATTGTCCTAATCTTAATAATTACTTATCATTTGCAGATTCATACCTAAAAGAGGAACAAACTAACCTTGAAGCATATCAATGATCTAGTCTTCATTAAGTACAATAAAACATTGAGGCGTCGTTACAACGCTCGCAATGTAATTGATCCAATTAGTTTGGACAACATCGATGATGCTAATGAATGGCTAACTGGAGTCCCGGAAGATCATGCAGATGAAGAAGTATTTGAGGAAACTTCTGATTTCACTTGGGGTGATGTTGTGGAGGCGCGTGGAATTGGGGAGAGGATTTATGGTTTGAGGGGGAGTACCTCAACTTCAAGTTCACAAAGGAAGGGAAAAAAAGCAACTACTTTGTCCCTAGTTGATGAAGAAGATGACGTGCAATGTAATAATGATACAAGAATTTGACAATCTTGTAGAAGAATAGGATGCTCATTTTGTACTTCAATTGATGCTACTCTTTAGATTTTACATTGAAGTATTGAACATTTGCTTACAGTTACATGTGTTGTCTATGCAGTATTTATTTTAATATTTTTTTTTAAAATTCCGCTTCCCTTTAAAAAAGCGAGCGCTTCGCTTCTCGCTTTAAGCGAAATGGGGGTTGTCGCTTTTCCTCGCTTCACGCTCTTCACAACACTGGTTAGACTCAAGGACGAGTCTCAACCAGGGGAGAATGATGCAAGATCAAGAGAGCTAAAAATCCAAGAAATTCAAGAAGTCCAAGAATCCCATTCAAGATTAGGATTTCTTTTCCTTAAAGATTAGGATTTCGTATTCTTGCTTTCTAGGGATTATATTTGTAGTTCTAGTCAAACTAGGATTGTTAGTTGGTATTCCACTCCTACTCGAATTCTTTTTCCTATTTTAGTTAGGATAGGTTTGCTTAGCCTTATTTTTATTCTAGTTTAATTAGGATTAATTTTTCTTAACCTTATCAATTTTACTCATTGTAAGGCCTATTTAAAGGACTCAATATACCGAAAATAAAGGGGGGTGATTAGTTTCTTTGAGCATTAGCTTCATAAACGTGATTGACTCTTTTATATCATTGTTCTTCCTTTATTCAACGCTTTTGCAACCTTGCGGGATTGAAGAACGAGAGGGTAAGGTTCTTTTCATCTTACATTCTTCTCATGTGAGTTTGAAGAACGCTTTCGCTAGTTTTGTGAAAAACTATAGTGGGGTGCTTTTGTTTTTCTCTCTTTTTGTACTTGAGAGGTGCAAAACCTTGAAAGTACATTAGTCGTATGTCTTTCTTGGATTAGTCCCAATTCAGCTGACAGAAGAAGAGGTTGACAATAAGAGGAATTCCAGCACAACCAAATAGATGTTGATGCTCAAAATGGTTAATCATTCGTCAACTCATACAGAAATTGCAACTAAAGTAGATGTTGATGATCAAAATGGTTGACTAATCACCACGCAGTATTTCCCACCTCCATACGTGGTATGGAGGATCTTGTCCTGAAAATGCACCTTGTAGGTTGTGAGAGATTGTGAGAGAGCAGGGACCTTATAATATGCCCAAGGCCTCATCTTTGGTTGATGCAGAACTACATTCTACAGCGAAACCTATTAGGAGAGGAGCTTGAGAAGAGGCACATGGCCAATTGTTCCCATACTACGATGCCATCTATGTGCAGAAGGACCTAGTATTTAGTTGATGTGGGACAAAGTCTCGCGGCACCCAACAGTATAGATGAGACTCTGTTTATTGCTAACAAATATAATTATCTAGAGACTAGGTTAAACTGATGAAGCAAATCAGAAGCAAGAACTCAGATAAATTGTTAAGATATTCACCGATAGAAATTTATGGGTGAGACTAACTCAAGTTGAGATTCATATGAGAAAAAAAAAATGAAGACAACAAAGAAAAAGTAGGGAGGAAAGGAGAAGAGGAACCACAGGGAAATGCAAGTAAGATTAAACAGGAAAACTAGCTTACCAGTAACCTATCAATGAGATCTCTGGCTTCATCCGAAAAATGATTTGGGAACCTGATATCTCTTGCAATGATTCTTTGAAAGATGAGCCATTCGCTGGCATCTTTAAAGGGAGAAGTTCCTGAAAGCATTTGATACAAGGTGCAGCCAAGTGCCCAGAGATCATTTCTGGTATATCATGTCCAAACGGAATAATTATGCTTCCAGTTAAATATGCATAATTCAGACAACATCAATGAACCAGTGTAGAAACTAATAGCAATTACATTTGGGAACAAGGCACAGTTGATTGATATAGTTTCCGGAGATTTAGGTTCCTCTTTCAGAACTCAATATTATGCCCTTTGTATGTGGATTACCGTACAACCTACTATTAATACAAAACGAAGAAGCAAAAGATTTGTCTTTACCAAGGATAAAGTCCATACCCAAAAGTTGCAGGAGAAGAATTTAAAACTTCAGGAGGCACATATGCAGCTGTCCCCACAAAAGTACAAGCCTTGTCATCTAAAGAAAATAAAGACCAGTGATTCAGTAATGGCAATGGCATCAAAACACCTATTTTGTGCTTACGTGATTCTAATGATTTCCACGGAAGTGACCTTACAGCAAGCAAGATATACCTGATGCTGCATTTGGAAGGACTGTTATTCTGCTATCTTGCATGGGCTTTACACTGCCAAAGTCGGCAACTTTAATATGTCCATCTGCAGTAAGTAGCAGGTTCTCGGGCTGCCAAAAATAAAAAATCAAAATTGTCCTACCATATTCTGTTGACACAATAGACCACATAATAAAAGTACCTTAATATCTCGATGAATCAATCCCATGCTGTGTATATATTCAAGAGCATCTGCTACTTCAGCTGCATAAAAACGCGCCTCCTCCTCAGACAAACGGCCTTTCTGCATGCACCAAAGTAAAAGTTCAATAGGAGACGGTTTAAGTGCTTTACAAGTCAAAAAGCAATGGATGCAAATTGTGGAATTGTTCACACGCTTCAGAAATGGGAAATCCTTCACTGGCAATGACATCAGAATAGCTGGATAGGGATATTGATAAGATGATTGGTCTTTCTGGAAGGTAACATCAGACTATTTCAGAATCGGGAAGTCAATCACAATGCAAACTTCAACAAGAAAATACGCTTTCGAGAGAAGTCGTAATACTACGTAAGAGTTTCACTAGTGACAAGATTTTATTTTACTTTTTGTGTTGTGACTTTTGAATCTTCATTTACTTTTTTTGATCGGAAAAATTCTTCATTTACTCACCCGGGTAATTTGATCAAAAAGCTCCCCACCTTCGCAGGACTCCAGGCCCATGTCTTCCCAAAAGGGTTACATGAAATTAGAAGGAGAAAAATCAATATTCGACAAGAAATGCCAGATATAAAGAGTAGAAAAGATACTTAAAAAGAATGTGTAAAATACTAATATATCAACAAATGTGTAGAATACTTACATAGTGAAAAAGTGTCTTGGAAGGTGAAAAATAGTCGCACAATGCCAGGATGATCCAGTTGATCAAGCACAATTCTCTCTAATTTCACATAAGCAGTCTTATTTTCTTTAGTGATGAACTTTTTGTCCATGATCTTCAAGGCAAAAACATTCCCTGTATCTTTCTTTTTTGCTCTGACAACCTGGTAGTTTCCACAATTTGCATCCAAAACATCAATTAATATTCATGATTTATCCCCGAGGAAAAGCAAGAGGGGTGAAGGGAGAAGGACCACACATGAGAAGAATTTTGTTAGTTACCAATACATGCTAATAAGACGACCCTCAACTGGAAATGGGCTTTGGTAACCCCTAAAGGGAGCTCTGCTTTAGGAGTGTGATCAACAATTAATGCTACCAAGCATCGCTTTTTATTCTGATACTAGATAATTCAAACCACATTCCAAAGATGAACTCACTAAAAAGATTTTCTCTCTGGTCTAAAAGACTACTTCTGCAATATTCTAATTTTTTCTCTTTTTTCCTTTTGTGCGGAGCATTTGGCAGATAATTCATTACAGAACACTGCATATTGCTGGTTGCAACTGTAAACAATCAACAAGTTCATGGAGCAAAGTACTAGAAAATGAATAAAGACATCTGGAAGATGAATAAAAGTGACACCTGGGATAAAAATCAATAGTCAGCCCATTATATCCAAAAATAAGGTAATGTTCCTTCCAAATTTCCCTTCCGAGTAAGCTAATGAAATAACAAATTGAAGCTTCAAAAAGAAAATTCATGGTACTAATACCAAACCACTCTCTGCACCCCTCAAAAAAAGGAGCCAGTTGACATGGAAGGTAAAAGAGACGAAGCATGTTAACTAACATATCACTAAGACAAAATGAGCAGGAAAATAAAGCAAAATAATAAAAGCGAGAAAACATAAACGTAAACTAAGCACAAAAAAGAAAAAAAATGGAAGAAGAATCTCAAACTAGACTGCTTCCAAACACCAAATAAAGAGAGGAACAGCGTAAAAAGGATTAAAAATCTGACCTTGGAATAAGAACCAACTCCATAGATCTTTCCCAATTCAAAATCTTGGATTGTGAAATTCACCTGAGGTGCTCTAAATGCGAAACTCTTAGACCTTTGAGCATCTGGTGAATTGTTCTGAATCCTAAGCTTTGAATTTAAATCTTGCTCCATCATCAGCTACTCCTCCTCCTTCTCCCCACCAACGCCAACATTTCAACCTAAAATATACATATATGTTTTTATCTGTGTTTTATATATGAAACACTATTACCTTCCTTTTTTTTTTCTCCCCCTAGAAAATCAGGGGTTTCAGCCCCTGCAAACGTCGCCCCAAGATTCAAGTTTTAACAGCAGAACCAGAGAGAACCATCACACATTAGATCAGACATTCTTCATATTATAATCCTCTTACTTTTTCCTTTTTCTTTGAGAGACCAACCTGGTAAAGCCAATCCATATGTCAAAAAGAAACAAACGCAAATGAGTCCTTTTACATAGTTACATGCATGAACGGAAAAAATGAAAAGACGCCAACACACACATACACACACTGTGTATATCCCGTTTGGACGTAAAAAAAAAAATCCCTCTTTTCTAAAAAATTTTCACTTTTTTCAAAATCACCATTTTGTTAACTTCAAGGTTTTGAAAAACTCCAAAAAGCTATTTTTCAAAACATTTCTCAAATCACTCGCAAAACTTCAAAAACAACCCAAAATTATATTCATGTCCAAACACAACTCTAAATTTCAAATACCATTTTCACTTCAAAAAAAATTTCGCCATCTTTTGGAATTTTACAATTCTTATGTCCAAACGCCCGCTAAATTTATCTCTTCTTTTTTTCCTCAAAACCCTAGAAAGCTAAGCTGAGACAAATCAGAAAGACTTCAGGTATGAATGGCATGGATGAAGAGTTGTAATGCTGGATGAAATTATGGGGATTGAAGAACACATTGAACTGAATGATGGGTACCTTTTCATTTCATTGCATTTGCATTACCGATCAATTACCCTGAAGATTTTGTATCGCAATTCTTTTTCTTCTTTCTTCAACACTTTTATTAGCCTCAAAATTGTGTGAATAATAATGGCATAAAATGTATAGGGCCTGAAAAGTAGGAAAAGCTGAGAAGGACATGCTGCCTATGATTGGGGAGCCCTTCAAAAATGGCTTCAGTTACATTGCATTCTCCCATGGCTTTTGGTTGTGAGTTGTGATTCAGAATATCGGGGGTTTCATTGGACATTCCAATTTAGGTTCCATCTTTTTGTTTGAAGACTTTAATCCATTTGCCAAATTTGGTAATGGTACAAATTCCCTTATTTCAAAATAATCATCCCCATAAGTATAAGACAATATATTGGTGGAGTCAAAAGGAGGCATTTGCATCTGTACCCAATTTTGGGATCACAAAATTAAAGTTATACCCACTTTGAACAAAAATTTACAAGCCTACCCACTTTCAACTTCAGACTTATTGGATCTAAAATTTTAAAAAAAAAAAATTAGTCTAAGTGCAATGCACTTAAAACCAATTAAGTCTAAAGTTTTGGACTTAAGATGCACTTAAATACAACAAATGTTTTCATACACGTAGGCCAAATAGGTCTGAAGCGAAAAAATTACACTTCAGGTGCACTTAAGGTCGATTATCTCTGAAATGCAACTAAGTTTCTATGCACTTAAGGCCAAATAGGTATTAAAAAAAGGCTAAATATGTATGAAGTTAAAAATTTGCACTTCATGCACTTAAAGCCAAAAAGTTTGAAGTGCAACTAATATTTTCATGCACTTAAGGCCAAATAGGTCTGAAGTGCAAATTGTCCAGAAATAGAAATTCAAATTTTTACAATTCAATACACGATTTAACACCTAAATCTACTCCAAATAAGCTCTAATTTGAAACATAACCTCCAATTATCATCAAGAACAAACTCCAATCATCAATTTGTCAAATAACAAAAAATCTAACAAAACTATTTTTGCAATCAAGAAGAAGAAATCCTAAACATATATATATATATATATATATAAAGCGCCACGGTAGCTCACCACTATACAACACTATAAACCACCTTAAAACTCGCTCATAAATACTATATAAATTCTAAGAAGAAGAAGAAGAAGAAGAAGAAGAAGAAGAAGAAGAAGAAGAAGAAGAAGAAGAAGAAGAAGAAGGAGGAGGAGGAGGAGGAGGAGGAGGAGGAGGAGGAGGAGGAGGAGAAAAAGGCCTAAAGTTGTCTATACTTTGGGATTAGTTAAAAAAAATTAAAAATGGGTACAGGTTAAATGGGGGCGACCAAATAGGGCACCCCGTGAAAATTTTATAGTGAAAATGACAAAATGGGTCCCTTATATATTATATTGGTGGTAAGTTTAAAGTATCCCAAAAAGGTCTTGTCATGATCCGAATCCATCATAGGGGTCGTGATGACACCTAATCTCTAAGACTAGGTAAGCCTATCACTTAACAACATTTAAATCAACAAAACATGATATAATAAGACAAAAATTAATATAAAAGCAGAAATAGAGTTAATACAAGTCAAAATATCTCCCAAAACTAGTTAGTAGAGAGTCGTGAGTTTTAACTAAATACATACGGAATATCCCAAAAGATACAATACTGATCGAATGTAAATTAATAGTATCAATTTAAAATATGAGACTCCAAGGGACTGCGACAGCATGCAGCTCTATCTTGAATCCTCGCGAACAAGAAAACTCTCACTCTCGGGGTCCGTTATCACCAATACTTGAATCTGCACATTACACTCTGAACCTCATCACACCGTTCATGGACAAAACTTATCATACTCTTCATGGGCGAAACTCTGAGTATAACCTTCTCACCTGCCATGAATGCCACCTCATGAGTCTTCTTATCAGCATAACTCTTTTGCCTAGACTCCGATGTATGAAGCCGTTGCTGAATCAATTTCACCTTCTCTAGAGCATCACAAACTAGATCAATGCCCAACAACCGAGCCTCATCAAACTCAAACCAAACAACCAGAGAACAACATCATCTCCCGTATAAGGACTCATACGGAGCCATCTGGATACTCAACCGGTAGTTGTTGTTGTAGGCAAACTCTGTTACTAGTAGAAACTTATCCCATTAGCCCCCGAAATCAATGATACAGGCTCGCAACATGTCCTTCAAGATATAAATAGTACCCTCAGACTACCCGTTCGTCTGGGGATGAAATAATATACTCAGCTCAACCTTCATGCTCAACTTACGATGCACAGCTCACCAAAAATGCAATATAAACTAAGTGCCTCGATCCTTAATAGTAGACACAGACACACCATGCAAGCGAACTATCTCTCTAAGATAAATCTGAGCCAACTACTCAGGGTGTAGGTAGTCATGACCGGAAGGAAGTGTGTAGACTTGGTTAGTCTATCCATAATAACCCACACAATGTCAAATTACCTCAAGGTCTGCGATAGTCAAAACACAAAATCCATAGTGATGCGCTGCCACTTCCACTTCGATATATTTAGCCTCCAAAACAAACCACCCGGTATTTGATGTTCATACTTAACTTGTTGACAGTTCAAACACCATGCAACATACTCAAAAATGTCTTTCTTCATCCTTCTCCACCAATAGTGCTCCTTCAAATCACGATACATCTTCGTAGCTCCTAGGTGAATGGAATACCGTGAACTATGAGCCTCCTCGAGGATCAACTCTCTCAAAACATCCACATTAGGAACATAGGTCCGACCCTGAAGTCTCAATACCCCACCATTACCAATAGTCACCTCCTTAGCATTATCGTGTTGCACTGTGTCACTAAGGACAAGCAAGTGGGGATCATTGTCACGACCCGAAATCCCACCTTAGGCATCGTGATGGCACCTAATCTCTATGACTAGGTAAGCTGATTACTTACAATAGTTAATCCAGTTAAACATGATATTTTGAAGCAGAGTTAATATAAAAACTTAAATAAATGTAATATAAGCCTACGCAACAACAATCACAACAATCCTCCCAAGAATAGGTAGGACAGAGTCACGAGCTCTAGATGAATACATAGAAATATCTCAAAAACAAAATACAATACTATTAAGATAATGAATTAACAGTACAATAAAAATAAAAAGGACTCCAAGGGACTGCGACTACCAAGAAGCTCTACCTTGAATCCTCGCGATCAAAAAGCTAACTCTTCCTGAGTCTATTATCTCCAAACCTGAATCTGCACAAAAAATGTGCAGAAGCGTAGTATAAGTACACCACTGTCGGCACCCAGTAAGTATCAAGACTAACCTCGGTAGAGTAGTGACGAGGTACAAGTCATGACACCTACTAGTCATAATAACCTGTGCAGTATATAAGTATAAAGCTAATAATAGAAACAAGAATCAGTAAATGGCAACAAAGAATAAACATGTGATATAAACAGTGAAGTAGTCCGAACACCATTAAAGTACCAGTGAAACAAATTAAGGAAAGCAAATAACAACCGAATAATCAAACTGTTCTAACACAAGTTTCACAACAAAATTACTCCGAAGTACCTTATCTCATAAACACAAGTCACGAGTCCCAAATGACAAATCATATACTCACGGTACCTTGCCCAAATTATCAATCACGACCACACAGACAACTCACATGCCAATATCTCAATCCGTCCGGATGATCATAGGCTCACGATCACAATCTGCCCGACGTGGTCATATGCTCAATACCATAATCTGCGCTGCATGGTCATAGGCTCACTATCAAAATTCGCCCGGCGTGGTCACATGCTCAATATCACAATGGAAACAGATAATACAAGAATATATGTGCATGATCAATGAATATCAAGTTTCATACTCCTGAACCGGTGTAAACAACACACTATGGTGTATGCTTGGGCGAGTGTACTATTACAGTCCAAGTCAACAAGTAACATCAAAGACAACGAATAGCTCATTGAAAACAACATAACAATTCACGTAAGGTGCATGGAATACACAAGGAAAATTACACCATCACACGAACACCATCAACATTATGCCCCTAGGCCGTCACATATCATACCTAACATACACACCCTTATCTCTCCGTATTGACAATATTATAACAACCAAACTTATCGCGCCGCCTACACATAACACAATAGCCATTCGTATCACTCCGCCCAGACTGTATATCACAATAACCACCTGTATCACTCCGCCCAGACAATATATCACAATAGCCACTCGCATCACTCCGTCTAGACAATATAAACAATAGCTACCCGTATCACTCCGCGCAGACAATATACCACAATAGCCACCCATATCTCTTCGCCCAGACAATATATCACTAATAGCCACCTGTATCACTCTGCACAATCAACAACAAAGATATGCCACCCTTATGCTCTGCACATTCAAATCACTAATCTAATGATAAAAATAAAGATAGAATCATGAAATAAAACCTATTCCGGGTCAAAAATACTTACCCCAATCCAAATCGTGAAAGCTCCCTTCAAAATCGCCCAAACCGAGCTCTACATCTCAAAATATGATTAAAATGGGTAATCCCTCAAACTATATGTAATCTGCCAGTAAATTCGCTTTTGCGGTCAAGTAGTCGGTTCTGCGACGGCCGCTTCTGCATCAATAGTCTCGCATCTGTGAGTTCCCAGCAATAGTCGACACATCGCATCTACGATCTCAAAAGCGCTTATGCGCTTACGCTTCTACGATTCCTGACCGCTAGTGCGCTTCCGCTTCTACGACTGGTTGACTAAATCTACAATCCATGTCTTCTCCAACCAAAGTCCGCACCTGCGCTCTCTTGGCCTCTTCTGCGGCACTGTATCTGCGGTCCCTCATTCGCAGGTGCAAAAACATCAGCACTCAGATTCTTCAGCAAATCCATATGGCTCAAAATGATTCGCAACTCGTCCGAAACACACTAGTGCCCCTGAGACCTCGCCCAACCATACCAAGCAATCCTAAAACATAATGTGGACCTACTCAAGGCCTCAAATCACACTAAACAACATCGATACTATGAACCACGCCCCAATTCATTCCTAATGAACAGATGAAAATTTCCAAATTCAAAACTAACAACGAACAAGCCTAAATACCTCGGAATAACCTCAAATTTTGCATGAAAGTCCCAAATTCTACCATGGAGCTATACCAACTTCTGAAACCACAATCAGAATATGATATTAACAAAGTCAACTCCCGGTCAAACCTCTCAACCTTCCGAACCTTCAACCTTTCCAACTTTCGCCAAAAAGCATCAAATCAACCTACATACTCTCAAATCCAAATCCGGACGTATGACTAAGTCCAAAATTACCATACGAAG